AAACTCACAGAGATCCCCCTGTCTCTGCCTCCCAAGTGCTGGGATTAAGGCTTTCATCACCACCCCCTGGCTTTTCAGTGGTATTTTATGTTTCTAGTCATATGAAAAAAAACACAAGAAATGTGTTATTAGAGTCCTTGTTAGATGATAGCCAGATGGAGTGGCAGGGGCTTGCGATGCCAGCACTCAGGAGGCTGAGGCAGGAAGATCAGGAGTTCAAGACCAGCCAGAGCTACTACAAAGCAAGACCCTGAGGTTTCACAAGTGGGTGGAAGCAAACGGAGGAAAAGAAAGGAGAGGTTGCTTTTCAAAGTTCTCAATAAAATAACTAAGAGATGCATAAGTAATTTTAAGGACCATCCTGGACTTAAGAAAAGAAAATTGTGGAGGCTGCGGCAATGGCTCAGCGGATAAAGCATTTGCCACACAAGTACAAGGACCTGAGTTCATATCCCCAGAGCACACCTTAAAACCAAACAGGTGTGGCCATGCTGGTCATACCCTGGAGAAGTGGAGGCAGGGGATCCCCAAGGCAAGATAGCTAGCTGGCCTGAGGGGATTCAGTCAACTTCAAGTTCAATGAGAGACCCTGCCTCAAAATATAGTGTAGAGAAAGAACACGGAAGATAGGTGACATCAACTTCAGGTCTCCACATATCACACACACACACACACACACACACACACACACACACACACACACACACGAGAGAGAGAGAGAGAGAGAGAGAGAGAGAGAGAGAGAGAGAGAGAGAGAGAGAGAGAGAGAATGCAAAACACCTATCAGGGATATGAATCAGCAAGTGACACATACATGGTCTAATATCAAAATCTCAAGTTGTCATGTTGGGGTTTCTTTAATCCAAAGTAATGGTATTTTACTCACGCGATGATTAAAAAGCTGTAATATTTTACTCACGCGATGATTAAAAAGCTGTAATATTCTTATTTCCCTTTCTATATCATAAAGGGGTATGCCACCCACTAAATGATACGTGTACAACCAAATCAGACTCCTTTCCATTGACAGTTTACCTTTGCACGGAGCTCACTCCTCTCAGTGTGACCTCTGAGACACCTGTGGCAGTATTTTAACGGGCACAATGTGTAACGATGCAAGGTCACCTTCAACAAGCACATAAGGGAGCAGAGAGTTTGGGGTCACAAAAGGTGCCTCTTTGTATTTTGCTCTCTCTGTAAGCGTCAAGTTTCTCCAGAACGTTTTTAAGAGGATCCTTCAAGGAGTCACAGGCCACTGGAGCTTAAACTTGGGCCAGCCTACTGGAGAGACAATGGAGTCATTACACTATACTCGCGATGAGAGAAGGAAGAATAAAGCTGGAAGCAGGTATGGTTTCTCATCAGATACTATGAATTCTGCCCTTCCACTGTTCACTTCAACACATCGTAGACATATTCTTAAGTGTACTTGCAAGACATTAAGTTTTTACCACAGGGAGTGATTTTTGCTTTAACCAAGTTTCATGTTTCCACTCAACTTCCAACAAGCTACATAAGATATAAAAAGTAATTACATATATATATATAAAGTTTATAGAATAAATTTGATCATTATATTTAAAATAAATGGTAACTCTGAGAGGTAGCACAGCGATAATGCTCACACTACAGCAATGACAAGCCCCACTAAAGGCCAGAGTCTTCAGGCTACACTGCAAGGTTCTCATTTAGTTAAGCAAGCCGTGCCCAAGAGCCATCTTTCTCCTTGTCTATGGCAGTCTCTACTTCCAGCAGCCTCTGTTCCAGAACTGTATTTCACAGAAGTTCCTGGGGGGGCATCACGATGCACAGACGTAACGTAAACAATATTTTAAATGTGAATCTTTGCCATCTGAAATAGAGCCGTGGAAACAAACATCATGTCCTCATCCGACAGTTTCCACTTGGCTCCCTGTTCACTTCACTCTTCACACACCAGTGAGTTCCAGTACTTCCACAGAAAAGTGTATTTGCAAAGCCAGAGTTTACAGTGCACCTTGGCAATGAATCACTTCCACATTCTGTGCACATGACAAATCAGGCCAGTGCTGCATAAATACGCACCTTACGGTTTCTATGAAACGTAGGAAGTTTGCTACTCAGAAGATTTCAGTTTTTAAGAGTACGTGGTTGCCTATGAAGTTTTGTGAGAAGTCAACAGAAACTACTTTTTAACGCATAGCAAAGCACAATACATACTTTAGGCCCTCAACATCCTATAGCTTTATGTCTAAATATCCTATTGAACATGCTATCCATAATATGGGACAACTCGCACATTAAATCCACCTCTGCAGACAGAAAACAGAAGACGTGGATTCTAACACTCAATGTGACCTGTAGCAGATGAGGAGCTTCTGAGAAATACCAGCCATCAAGGACAACTCATTCATCATCACAGGCACAGCCATCTCCCAGATCCACAAAGTCCAAACACTTCAGGGTGAGTGGCAGACCCACAGAAACATGTACACACACATTTACGTAAGTTTTAGTCTTCCTTTTTTAAAGAGGGTAGCCTCGCTTTGTGCATCCTCCTTTAAGAACTGGACAGCGGTGCTGAATAGTATTCAAGAGGAATGCGTGGTTCATCATAACACTCTATAATGTGAGAGTTTTTCAGTGTTTTCATTCTTTGGAAGCTCCTTACTCTTGGTTACAGTATTTGCTCCCTCTGCTCACCCCAGAAGAGCCAGCCACTGCCCTGATTTCATCCCTGCGCTCATATTAGTGAAACCTGGTTAATTTTAAAGGAACAAAAGCTTTCTCCGCCGGTGCTCTTAAAATAGCAGGTGCATCATCACAGAAACCCGGAGGAAGAAAGGCGAACAGCACAGCCCCCCTTCGCTCACAGCCCCGTTCCTTTGGGCAACTGAGGTCAGCTGCTGACGTCAGGACGCTGTTTTAAAAGTTGGGTAAAAGTTTGCCAGAGACATTCTGTCAGCTACCCTCTGCTAGGCACAACATTAAGCACATCAGGGGTGTGCGTGGGATAGTTCTGCAAGTATCATCGGAGAATTCCACAGCAGGCATGAGGGTGTGGACGAACATCCCATGATTTAAGATATACATCCAGGAACACTCTTAGCAGGAGGGTGGACATATCAGAATACAGAATCTGGCTGATGGACAGAAGAGTGCATGCAGCCCTTGCCTCCTCACTGTTCCTGGTGTCAACCACTTTGCTCAAGTTCACTCACTGCCTCGTCCTAACCCGGGCGGGGGTTGGGGGTGGGGTGGGGGGATCCATTCACTCCCCTAAGCCCAGAGAGGCTGCTGAAAGGCTGTCAAAGTAAATCTGTGTTCACTTTTTGGATGGTTTAATTTCAATGGAGCATGAAACACCCCAGGACGGTTAATAAGTTTAGCCAGGCATGCTGTTCTCCCTAATATATTTTAATTATGCATCTGTTTTAATTGTAATCAGATTAAGTCACTGGAAAAAGGCACAAATTGGCATTTTTCCCCTAATGGCTATTGGAGCTTTTCATCAGTTTCTAAACACTAACAACAGTTTAAAAATAGGTAGAGACACCAGCACAAGGGTGAGATTTCCAGGAACCAAGGCAGTTTCTTTGACAACATACAGTCCGGGTCTCATTAGCCACCCAAACTAACCCAAATACAGAAGACAACTTCAGTCTCCAGGGACGTCTTCTTCCATAATTAGCATCGGAAAAATCACTGATGTCTAACGCAACACTCCCAGCAGAACGGAAAGCCCATGTTTTCTTTTTTTTTTTATAAAGGACCATGATGAGTGAGCAATGATGTCAGCTCAAAGTTTACTACGATACACGCCAAACAGAAAGTTGACGCAGAGTACGCGCGCTCTTTCTACTATTTTGGCAACTGTCAAACGTGCATTTAACTTCGGGAAGTAAGTGTCCTATCAATAAAAGGAAACGACACGGAGAAGATCTACTAAGGGGTAAGGAGCGACTTCCTTCCAAGTCCACACGTAAAATCGCTTAATAGGCTTTTTTTTGCACTAAGTATACCTAGGACTGTTATTGTTTCTTTTCTTAATGTAGGTTCATTAAACAGTTTTCCAAATTGCCGGGATTTCCGCTAAATAACTTAAGCGTCTACCAACCGGCAAGAAGCAAGCAAGAACCTGCTGCAAAGTAGGAGCGGAAACTCGCTTGGCCCGCCCAGTGCGCTGGCGTCCCGGCTGTTTGCTTTAGGAGTTACGGTTTCCACGTCGCCGAAACCTTCAGGTGCTGATAACCTGTGTCCCCAGGACACGCTTCAGCCTGACAGCGGGGCAGTTCCAGAGCCCCCCACCCCACCACCCCACCCCCTTGGCGCCGCAGCCATTGCCCCTTTCCTCCCGCGCACTTACCTGTCATCGTAGCAGAAATCCGCACTCAGAGTGTTGAGATACAAGGCGAGCCCCAGAGCGCTGCTCACCAACTCTGCAATCATCTCTCCACCGCCTTCCCTCCGGCTTGGCTCCCAGCGCGAGCGCAGCAGCGGCAACAAAACACAGAAGCATCAATCCCCACCTTCCGCCGCCTTCTCCTCCTGGCTGCACTTTTGCCTGGCTTCCCCGCCCGCCTCCTCGCCCTCCCTTCTCTGCTCCTTCTTGCGATGCCGGGTTCCTCTCCGCCGGCTCCTCGGGTCGCCTGGCTCCGCTGCTCCTGGAGTGAGTGCTCCCCGGGGTTACGGGCTCACACCGCGCTCCCCATGCCCGACACCCGGGAGAGGCAAGCGGCGATCCGGCTTCACGCCCCCCGGCGGAGAATCGGGGCGAGTCCTTTCGCGCGGCTCGCGGTCCCCACCCTAACCCATGGCACTTTGGGACACCCTAGGTGGAGGACTGAGGAGGTAGCAGAGTGCGAGATAGTGGGGGGGGGGGGGGTGGTCGGGGAGGAGGGAGGCGTAGGGGCCGGACGGAGCCGGGATCTGGGACCAGCGGGAGGAAAGCGGAGAGAGAACGAGAGAAAAGGGGCGGGTGGGAGGGACGAGGCGAACCGCCTCTCCTCGCCGCCTCCCGGGCGGGCGCACGCACGACTCCCGGGGTCGTTCACACCAACTCGGCCGCCACCGCGGCTGCAGCACATTCACTCTTTTATTGGTTCCCTCCCGGGGCCCCCTCTCCAGTGAAGTGAGAAGCGGCGACTGGGGACTCCAAAAGCTCCCGCGTGGGGCTCTCGCCGCGGCCCCACGCGCCTGCGTGGCCGGCCCTCCAGCCCGAGCTAGCCCTGCCCCTTTCTCCACCCAGATCCTCCCCGCAAGGCTCCTCCTCGTCACCCCCACTGGCGGGAGGCTCCGCCCACTCTCCCCGCTGCTCCAGCCTCCTCCTCCTCCAGCCCCGCTCCCTTCTTCCTCTTCTTTCACCTTCGTTTTTTGTTTTTTGGTTTTTTTTTTCCCTTTCTGGAAAGCCCCCCCGGGACAAGGACGACTTTTGGAAGATTGCCCAAAACGATAGCTAGAGTGCGCTCTGGTCTGGGCAAGGGAAATGGAGGAGAAAGGCGACAGGAGGAGTCGATGGCTTGGGCCAGTGGTGCCTGGAGGCGCCTGGCACCCACTAGATCGCTAGCCAAGCGGGCGGTGCCAAGAGCTGTCAGGCAAAGATCTGGTCAGCTGGAGAGACTTCTGGGGACACTTGAGAGGTAGAACAGGTTTGGCGAGCGCTGGCAGCCTGGGTTGCCACTAAAGATCTATTGCCCGCGTGCACGGTGCGTGAGCTGAATTGGAATGGGAGGGCCTGTTGAAGAGCCGGGGGTTGGGAGGGGGGTGTTTAGGAAGCAGAGTTCCACTCTGAGGCCGCGCCACCGCCGCCGTCGACATTAATGTCAATGGGGAGACACGTGTCCCGCGGTGCGATTATGAAAAGTGATCCAGAAAAAATGAAAGGGGAGAGGCTAGAAGGTAAGAAATACGCACACATGGGCTGCTCAGAGATTGAGGGGGCTGGGGTGTCTTTCGTGGATCAGGACTGACAGGCTGGCTGACTCTGAGAACCTAGACGAGAGACCCCCAGGCTAGTGCAACCCTCTACAGCGCCATCCTTAAACCCCGCAAAGGAGAAAGCTAATGCCCTTTTCCTTGCCGCCCGGATGCAAGACTGGATGGAAGGCATCCAACCTGATGAAATACGGTGTAGAAGAATGGTTTGGGCAGAAAGAGCCCTGCGTACTAAAGCTGCAAGACCAAAGAGGTCCCAGGGCTGTCTGCCACCCCTCCTTCCTGCCTGGTCCCCTTTCTTACTGGACTGGTGGCTGGCTCCCTTGGACCACAATGAACACTACTGCAGCGCCCCCTGCTGTGGGGAAGCTACAGGGCATGGAAAACCAGGCCTTCGTGCAGGGCTGACTTGTCCCCTCCTGGTAGAGTTGCACCTGACCTGCTAGCTCTTCAAAGGTACGAAAAGAAACTGGAGCCCTCGGGAGTGTGGCAGCGACCTGAAAAGTTTGAATGCCCGCAGAGCAAAGATGTTTGACTTTGCAAGGAAATCTTTTAGACACTGTATAAAAGTGTTCTATCTCCAACAGGCAAATTTGGATTTGACCAAAACATTATACCCATGTAGGAAATTCTCAAATAATACATTAAAGATGGTGATTTCTATTTTGCATGTTCCCCTATATACTGTGGGGTGGTTTTGTTGTTGTTGTTGTTGTTTTTAAATCCTATCAGTTGGTCCATTCGGATCCTCTCTGTCTCTCTCCTGGAATTATATATTGATGTTGAATCCTGGGGTCCCGGGGGAGGAATACACACTTGAGTCTGATACCTGGGTTTGAACATCAACTCAGCTGTTCGTTATTTGGGTAAGCTGGGGCCAATCACCCTCCTCATACCTCATCTTTATAAATATCCTTTTGGTTCGATGAGTTACCATATAAAGCATCTAGAAGGAAAAGTGCCACAAGAAGTTAGCTGTTATGATTTCCAGCGTCTTCTTTTACTTCTTACCTAAAACCTGGACATTCACCTCCCAAATAAATACCACCACACCCATACTGCTCCAATGTTAGTCCAAGTTATTATCTCCTGCAAGAACTAATCTAATGGCCTTGTAAATGGTCTCATTTCTACACCTACAGCCCCTACTCCAAGCATTTACTTGGGGTAACCGACAAGCAGCTTGAAATTCAATCTCTCCACTCAAGCGTGGTATTATAGTTACTTCTTGGTGCACATAGAATAAAAACTCTCATTCTGGCTCACTTGGCCCTCCCCATCTTCACAATGTGTTCGTCTATGTACCATAGACACATCTTCTCTGGAACCTTGCTTTCTCTTCTTCCTGGAAATGTCTTCTCCCCAGACATTCTTTGACTACGTTCCACTATCAGGTACTTTTTTTTTTTCACATGCTATTACTTCAAACTTTCTATCTAGTACTTTATCACACACACACACACACACACACACACACACACACACACACACACACACTCCTTTATCTACCATCCGATATTACTTCCTTCTTCGTACACACTTGTATCTTAATTTGTATCTTAGTACCCACTTGTATCTTAAATTACCACTTGAATTGAAGCTAGGAAACTTGTCTACATGGTGCCCAGTCCATGTAGCATCTGAACATGTAAAAGAAACCTAAAAACAAATGCTGATAGCAAATCAGCAATATGAGTATTTACGTGGAATTATTAAAAAAAAAAAACCCTGAAAATCCACAAATACTCATCAGGAAGAAGAAACTGATATGATGTCTGTGTTAAAAATGACAGGGGCTTATTGAAAGCAGGAGGGATGGAGTAGGTTGACATTTTTTAAGTACATCACTTCCTCAGGAAGATCCACGGTGGGAAATCACGTAACGACAGCTTTTTTTCCTAAAATTTATTGACTTAAAAATGCTTGAGAGCTTTGGGTTCAGAGTGCTAAAATCTTGTGAGCATTTCTCCATTCCAAAGCTCCAGTAGTCTTAAAAAACATGCCTGTCTTCCTCCACCACCACCCCAATTCCACTGAACTGAAAGCCTCGGGAACTGAGATATGCCATAAAAAGGTACATCTCCTGATTCTTAATAAATGGAAGACTGGGACATCCTGCTGTTTGAAAAAAGAATCCAGTTACTCATAACAAAAGTTCTATTGTACTTTAACGTGGGTCTCTGTATCCTCACAGTGCATTAAGGTATGAGCTCTGGCGATTGGCCTCCAAGGGCTGAGAAGCAGCCAACGCTTGCATTTTCTACCTTCCTCGAACAACTAGAGAGAGAAAATCGGATTAAACATGTCATCACTATCCCTGAAGGTCATTTAAGATCACAGAGCCCTTTTTAGGTTTATTAAGATGCATTTACCCAGGGTGCGTGAGACTGTTGCAGTCTCAGTTCTGAATTTATAGATCATTTATTTAAGGCTACTGGAGTTCTCCACAGTTGAAAAAAAAATTAGGCTGGTTGGCTTAAGCTTTCTACCTTAGACACAAGATTGGCCAAAAAAGTGCTAAGCCCTTATTTTCCTGAGTAGGTCCCACACATCTGCTACCTCACCACTTCCTCAATGAATTTCATTTTATAGTCGACCAGACCTAGCCTACATTTGTTCTGCATTCCCGGTCCTTTGTTGTATAATTCATACCTTTGCGGTGCCAGTTCCTCGGGGTAAAGATTTCCTTATTTGCCTAAGACATTTTTAGTTTATTGTGCAATCCCATCTTCCCTTTGGGTGTTGCATAAATATTAACTAAAAATCCACATCTGGTGTTAGTCGTCGTTTCTATTTGTCCTAATATAACTTCTCTTTGAACAATTCATTTGGAAAGTGTGCCAAGGGTGAAATGTGGCACATAAATTCTCTTTGCACTACATACACAGAATGCTTTGTAAAATGCCCGCAGATTTGGTTATTTATGAACAGAAGATTTGCACCTCTTCCTTACTCTCTCAATTCGACAGTTGCAGCAGGCTAAAGGAATTACAGCCCCCACATGTTTTCTGTAGAGGTAGACAGGGGTCTCCCGCTAAAATCTTAACAGATTGACTAGGTAGCAGAAACACACTGGTCCAGCAGGTGAACTACCTGTTCAGGGAGGACAGAACAGAGCTCTCTGCTGGGAGACTCACAAGCTCTAGGTTTTGCTCAGGGAGAACACTGCAGGAGAAAAATAGCTTAGCATGGATGAAATGTGGGTCAGGGAATAGAAAGCGGCACACAGGCTGCGTGGTTAACTAATGACAGCAAAAGCATTGGCTATACACATGGTACCATGAGATGTCGCCCAGCCTATCCTACAGCATTGCCCTGCAGACGTGACAGCGTGTAACCCTGCTCCATCCTCCGACTCGGGATCCATTAGGAATATAATTAGGACAGTGCAACCACAGAAAATAATCCTGTCTCCTCTGTCACAAAAGCAAGGCTGTTAAGAACCAGCTGCCACCAAAATAATGATCACTTCAAGAATTTCACCCTTCTCCCAGCCTCCATTTCGGAGAAAGTGGGGGTGGGGAAGAAGAGGAGGAGAGTATAAATTTCATGTTAATAACCAGCTAGGGAAAACTACAGAGATGCTGAAGGTACTCATAGGATTCAGAAGCTATCTAGAAAAGCCAGGACAGACAACCTCCTTCATAGACTCTCTCCAAATGCATTCACATGCACTGGTATAAACAGTGATAAATAGTACAATAACAGCTTGAGAATTGCTTAGAATCTTGGCTAACAGTTTCAATCAGTCTTGATTTCAGTGAAATAAAGAATTAAGGCTACAGGGAAAATTCGTTTGAATGAGAATGTTTAGATTAAGGTTAATCATGAGTTTTGCCTATGATACTCAGCCCAGTATGGACCTTTGCAGGCAACGTTTTTGCAGCTTTCTACAATGAAGAATTTGCATTTGTGCTGTCTAGTAAGGTAGCTATTGAGATATTCACCATCCAGATCTCAACAACACGGAGCCATTGAGCCGTTGATATCTGGATAGAACAGATTGTAGAATTAAACTTTTAGTTTGCTTTCGACAACTCTAAGTGGTCTTACACAGTTACAAATTCACACACAGTCTTCTACCATTTTTAGTTTTCTTATATTTCTTCTTAGTGACTGTGACTAAGGGCTACTCTTTTAGATGGAACAGCCTAGGCTGTGAAGGCCTCCAGGCTGTAGACTTCCCTCCTATGTATCTTAGCAGGAGGCTCACATGAAGGCCAGTTACCAACATTCTCTCACTGGTCAAAGCTTAGTCATGAGTCATTTCCTCTGACCGGCAGGGATTCTGCATAACTTGCTTTTATTTATAAAATCGCATCCAACTACTGAGTATTTTTAGTTATGAGACATTGTCCTGAGCACCTTATGTTTATTATCTCACTAATCCAAGAGAGCTACATAAGGAAATAGAGTCACACATGGATTTAGTCAATGGCCCATGGCCTTGCAGCCTCTGAGTAGTGACACTAACATTTGTGAGTCACAAAGTCTCTGAGTTCATTATTCATCAGTGCAATACAATCATATTGTTCATTCTCCCATTCAGGTGGTCACAACTTTCTTATGAATCAAGGGAAGGAACTCTTGAAAGCCAAGATTCTCCAAGTATATCAATATTCTACCTCTTCTACATTTCCTCAGTTCATTTTAGATAAAGTATTATGAATGTCCTTTTGTTTGTTTGGTTGGTTGATTTGGTTTTTCAAGACAGAGTTTATTTGTGTAATAACTCTAACTGTCCTGGAACTTGCTTTGTAGACCAGGCTGG